TCTCTCTCTCTCTCTCGCCGTAGCGGTATCTTCAGCGCAGCAGGTAAGTAACCAATCTTGTATCACTCATCTCTCTCTCTCTCTCTCTCTCTCTCTCTCTGTCGTGTTCTTCTTGATGCAGGTGCGCAGCGGCTTCTTCCACCGAAGGTTCGCTATGGCGGACTTTCTCCTCCAGCGGCCACCTCAGCTATGGCGCCTGCACACGACGGCGCGTGGAACAGCGGGTACCAGCTCCGATACCAGTGCAATCAGAGTCGACTTCTTCACACTTGTCATGCATGCAAACAGCGAAACAGCAAACTGGCGACATGCGCCCACACAGTACTCAAAGATATCGTAACCAGGTAGGAGTTCCCTTCAAACTCGCTATGGCGACTGAGCGCCCACACAACTCATTGTTCGCACTCTGGATCACCCTGGATGTCCCACATGCAACACTCTACACGCAACACACACACACACACGCTACTATAGCTATGGCAGCTATGGCTGCCACTATCCTATCACTACACTACACTTCACTGCCCCCTTCGTCTTCGGGCGCACTGCAGACCTCCTCGCACAAGCTGCTGAGGCAGCGCCTCCGCATGGCATCCGCATGCATCATGAATGGCTGGGCGCAGCCTCTTGATTTCTTCTGCGCTGTGTTGGTCTGCCCTGTATCCCTTGTCCCACGATGTGCTCACAGTCCCAGACGGTACTTGCTGAACAGGACCGGACTGACTGACTGGGACTGCTGACTGGGCTAGGTGGACTACCACCACTTGACCACTTGCCTCTGCTGAACACAGGCCAACTCCGAAAGGCCACTTCTAGAACTCTCGAACTTGGCCTTTCGGTGCTGTAGCAGCTACGACTTTGCCCTTTCAGGTAAGTAGCAGCTACGACCTTGACTCTTCAGGCATCCTACAGCTACGACTTCGGAACTGTCTAGACTCCTACTCTACAGGTCTACAGTTCGATTCCCTTCTACCTTGTGACCTACGAAACCCTGCCTACCACTGGCGGTCCTACAGG